AAAAAAAACACAAACACACACACACACACACACAGACACACACACACACACACACACACACACTCACTCACAATCAATCAATCAATCAATCAATCAATCAATCAATCAAACGCCTTTTTTGAAGTTTTTTCTTTATTTATTTTCACATTTTGCATTTGCATTTTTTTAAAACACCTCATACCCCTGCAAAAAACAGCAATAAAAGACAGGTGAACTCAGGGACCATATATCTCATGATAAAAAATGACCAAAAAAAAATCCAACTTTTCTTTATTTATTTTATTTTTATTTTTTTTTAAATCGAATTTAGTTTTTCATTTTTTAGAAATCCGAAACAAAGTCGGATTCCAAAAAAAAAAATATGCGGTTGTAGGGCTTAACATTCCCTACAACCCCATATATATATATATTTTTAACCTATTATTTAATTCAGGAAAATTCTTGTAAAATCGGATCCACGGCGTGGACCAGGTCGGCTGTGGACGCGGACCCGTCTGCGTCCGCCATCCAAGATTGGACCCGCGGACGCGTCCGCGGGTGTTACATAGTTCGCCCTCTGTGTACGTCTGTTACCGCCACTCCTTTCTTCCCACCTGGAATAGTCTAGCATGGCAGCTCCCCGTCCGGCAAAGCTCCTCCAGTCGTAGTTTTCATTCGGGTAGCGAGCTTGAGGTTGATCTATATGGTAACTCTGATGAGGTTGGGGATGCTCCCTGAGCTGTTGCTGAAACTCCATGCTTGCCAGCCCCACCGGTTGCTGCTCGTGCCACGTCATGTGCATTGGGGCTCCCAACAGCACCCCGTCCATCTGACTGTTTGTGTGGAAATCTCTCTCTGCCTGGCCCCCCGCCCAGTCCCTCCTTGTGTAGGAGGAAGGGGGGAGAGGCAGGCCCATGTTGATAGCTTCCTCCTCCCCCCAACCTCTAGCTCCTCTTTGGAACTCACTCCCCTGCCATTGGGCGGGCATTGCCATGTGCCTCAGGCCAGTGCCTGCTCGACGGTCCAGCCCACTGACTGTTTACAACTGTGTCCCTTCCTACCTCTCCCGGCGGAGGCAGCTGAGTTCGACTGTGGCAGGCCACTCCCGCCTCGCTCTGCTGCAGATGTCCAGACTGCTGAGGCCCAATGGGGCCTTGACTCCGAACTGTGCCGATGGGATGTTGCTGTGATCTTGGCTGGTCCTTGGTACCTTCTGCTCTCCCTTGTGACGCTCGTTCCTGGTCTTGCAGGTGCTGTCTGAACCTCAGTTTGTGTCCGCCCGGTCTCTCCCCATTTCCCCCACGACCGTCCGCCTTGAGTTTGAATTTTGGGCAATTGTCTTCGGTATGAAAGTACCACCTACATCTGCGACACCAATCAGTGTATGGAGTTACAATATCTACTTTCCAGCTCTCTCCCTTCGGCGATTGGATGGTCAAATCGTCTTCTATCCTGGTCCTTGCATCAGGTGGCATCTCAAACTTGACATTCATTAATTTCGGCCTGTCTCGGTCGTATTCCGGTGACTGCATCGACGAGAACCCCCCGAAGATGGCTTCCACCGCACTTCCCAAGTAGAAGTACGCTTCCAGGGGGACTCTCAGTGCCATAGTCCAGAATTTGGATTCAGCTTCCTGGATTCTAACATCCTGCAACTCCTGTTTCGACAGCCGTGGTCTGAAATTCACTGTGTAATTCTTCCCCTCCAGCTTGATCACCATTTCTTTCTGCTGCAGTAGCCACTCTGCAATCTCTTTGACCTTAGCCACGTACGAAACTACGTTTGGGTGTTCGAATTTGACTCTACCACGTCTTGCTTCAGGCTGAAAAAACTTTTTAGTTGTCCAACCGTCTTCAAATGCTCTGATCAGGTCTTCTTTGACAGCTCTTGATAGCGAACGAGCATCCCCCTGAAATACTACAATTACTGACCTTTCCTTTAACCACTGCTCCTTTACTTCCTCTACCTCTTCATTAACTACGAATCTTTTTCCTCCATCTTCCACCACCTTTCCTAATTGGATGCCCTTTGGGCAGACTCCCTCATCATAGCATTTGCTCACTGAATCTCTTACACTTGCGAGATTGCCATGGCTTGCTTGTTCCGTAGTTGAACGGTGTGCCTCTCCTCTTGCCTGCGATGTCATTGCTGGGCACTGTGTGGGAGCAGCTCTGTCGACTCGCCTTACTGCCTCCAGAGGGCCGACTTAGGCTAATGCTCGACTAGGTAGGCGGACATAGTCTTTTTCTTTAACCTGCCTTCGCTCTGAGGTGTCGAGGAAGCCCCACTCTTCGAACTGTGTCTGCCAGCAGTACCACTCTTCCGTGATCCACGTGATTTACCGGGACAGGGCCACGGCTCACAGGAACCGGGGAGAGTACCGGCGGACACACCGACACAGAAACTTTCCCTCCTACACTTAACTCTCACTTTCGCTATTAACGCGGTGGGTCCGTAATGGTCGTTCTCCTTCGCTGAATAGATACTTCAGTGAGTGGCCGTACCTAAATCGTAGGGAATGGCCATGTCTAGTGCGAATTTAACTTTCGTAAAAGCAAAGTCGGTTAATCCCCGCCTATCCGAAGTAACTCTGTACCGACTCGCAGATGCTTAAGGAACATGGGCTCTGTCGAATTTCTACCCTATTAAGGGGAGAAACCACCAAGCTTCGGACAGAATTCGCGCTTCCTTGCCTTCTTTCGTTGAAAGAGATGCTTCGAGATATCTTCCGAAACCCGAATGCCCTGCGTTTCGGCCGCCTTGCTTCCGTGGTCCTGAGCTGCCTGATTCCTGAGTTGGCCAGACTGCCTCCGCTTCCGATCTGTGGTGCCCCGTTGTACTCCTCTGTCTTGGACTGGGCAGAATTACCGAGTCGAACCTCGGTAACAACCGGAGAAGACGAGCTCATTAAGTTTCCCTGATTCACTTACCCCCACTTACACTACGAGATCCTTGATACCGTAATGGTAATTTTCCTTCACTGCTATTCCCTACTTCACTGGGTGGATATGCCTTACTCTTGGATAGAGGACGTATCCCGTTGGTTACACCCATTGAGGTAGCAAATACGAATACTCTCCGTCCATACAAAGCGATCATGTACCTACCCTCAGATGTCTCAAGTAATGCTCCCAAAAATCGAGTTTCTCCCCGGACACACACCGGGCGGCGGAGTTACCATTACCCCGGCCTTCCTACTTCTGGTGAGAGAATCCTTCGAGCCCGCTATTCAAGTATGCACCTGCGAGTTACCGCGGTAAGTGATTTCTACCTACCAAAAGCGGTTCTGGTAACTTCGGATATGGGGGGTATTCCGCCACGCGGAAATTGGGATCCTACGACAGACACGAGTATGGCCAGCATTAATGCCTCCTTCATACTTGCGGTGCACCGACCCTGTGCGCTGCGCGCGCATCGGCGCGCGCCGCGCATCCGGGTGCGCAGTGCGCTGCGCTCAGGGCCGGTGCGCTGCGCGCAGGTGCGCTGGGGGGTGCGCACACCATTTACTTTATTTTTTTTATTTTAGGGAGAGAGAGAGAGAGAGAGAGAGAGAGAGAGAGAGAGAGAGAGAGAGAGAGAGAG